CTTTTAAATAGAGATTTTCAATTTTTTTAAAAGCCTTTTAACAATTCTAGTATGCATGAAGTACTTCCTATGGTTCTATTATTCAAGATTCCACCTAAGTCTTTTTGAATCTTGCCACAGTTGGGATCTAAACTGGGACCCGAGTTAATCTAGCGACGCTTTGGAGAAAATTAGAGAACACCTTCCCTGCAAAAATTGAAACTGCCACGAGATGGCAGGAGGACAACACCAGGCATTTCAAAGCTGAGTTAGGGGTAAGAGAAGTTTAAAAAATCACTTTCTCTTCATTTAATCAGAAAATTGTATGTATATAAAAACATAAATATAACAAAAGAGTATACACTTACAGAACGAAGACATTTACTGATTGGGATCATGTATTAATAGTTCAAACAACATTAAACTTCAAAGCAGAAGATCTGAGTTTCAGTACAGACCTTCAACTAGCTGTGTCTCTGTGAGCAAATCAGCCTCACACATTTCCTGAGTGGCAGCTTCCTTAGCTAGAAAATGAAGACAATTGGACTAAATGTCTCTTAAATACCATCCCACCTCTTAAGGTCTGTGAACTTCAGTCACTGCAACCTCTGCAATCAATCCAGGAAGGTAGGTCTACCTCTGAAATAAACCTCAAATCTGCCTACTTGCCATCCCCACTGCCACCGCCTAGTTTAAGCCACCATTGTCTCTTGTCTGGACACCTACAATAACCTCCTGACTGGTCCCCCTACTTGGAGTCTTGTCCTTCTCTCATCCAATATCCACAGAGCAGCCACGATAAAAGCCAGTCAGATCTTGTCACTCCCCTCCTAAAGATTCTTCGTTGGCTTCCCTCCTCACCAGGAAAATTCAATCATCTTATTATGGCCTGCCATAAGCCAGCTCTGGCCTACATCTTGCATCAAATCGCATGCTACTTTTCCCGTTGCTCACTGTGCCCCAGGTGCACAGACCTTCCTTCAGTTCCATAAATATAACCAGCTCTCCCCAGCCTCAGGGTCTTTGCTTTTTGAATTTGCTGTCCACTGCCTGGAATGTTCTTCCCACAGTTCCTCAGATGGCTGACTCCTTGTCATCCATCAAGTCTCAACTGAAATGTCACATCCTCAGAGAAGACTCTGTTCCCCTCATTAAAGCCCCTGCTACTCCTCTGGCATAGCGCTTTCCTCTTTTACAGCACGCATCACAATCTGTGATTATTTCATCTATCTATTGTCTACCGCCCATCCCAGCCCAGCTGGGCTGTGAGCTCCATGCGAAGTCTTTACCTGTCTTGTTCACCATTGGATTCCCAGTGCTGTGTCTTGTGCTATGGAACGGTGTCTGACGCAAAACCAGTGCTCAATAAATATTTGTTAAATGAATCGAATGGAGGGATTAGCTACTAGAGTCAGAGGACTAAATATCGGCATGAGGGGAATAAGAGCTGTGCTTGGAAGCCTTTTCCATGCAAACAATTTGCATCCTGAGGTTTATGAAGCTATTTCTCTGTTTTTTCTTTTTCTACCCCCACCATAACAGGTGTAGGATGGGGATACTTTCCATGGATTTAGGGAACACCTAATTTTTCCACCTGTCCAACTTTTAAGAGATACTCAATCCATCTGCGTATACGCTGAGAATGGGATGCTTGGAAACAGGTTAGCTCCACCCAAGAGCAACTTGATGTTTTTCTAACTAACTTGGGATGGAATGAGAGATGGATAAATGGAGTAGTGACTAAGCAGAGGAGAATGGAGAGAAGGGACAGATATCAGGGAATTCTGCCTAATAATCTGACTCCTGAACACCTGCCCAGTCAACATTGTGACATTCAGCCCACCTCAGTGTCCCACTCACCCTGTCCAGTTGGACTATTTTGCTTAATCCCAAAATCCCACCTCTTCCAAGATTCTCAGGTTAGTTATGGCAGAGTGAAAAGTGTAAGGGATTTGGGTTTAAAGGACCTCAGTTCAAGCTTAGCTACTTTCTAGCTCTTGGAAGCTCTTGGACAAGTAATCTCACATCTCTGTGCCACAGTTGCCTCATCTGTAAAAAGGAAATAGAATCCACCTAGCAGAACTGCTATGAGGACTGAAGCATTACAATATGAAAAATGTTTAAAACTGTGGGTAGCGCATAAGTAAGAATTAACAACTATCATTAATATTATTATTGTTGCTGATGATTGAAGATGTAAAGGCTATGTTTCCCCTTCACAACCACCCACTTACATTTTTCTCAGCCTTCACCCACAAATGTATTTTCCCTTCACGTTTCTCTGATGGGTCCTCTCCATCTCTTTTGCCGGCTACTAACCACTGGTCTTTCACAAGCTTCTCTTCGTGCCTGTCGTCTTTTACTCTCTATGTGGTCCCCCTGGCAGAATTCATCTGCTTACTTCTTCCATGACTTCAAGAATAGGCTAACAATTCTAAAATACTGTCTCTAGCCTCCTAGGCCCCCCGCCTCCTGTCCCTCTTCCATGGACTTCCTGTCACAGTTACTTCACACTCAACATATCCCAAAACGAGCACAGAATTTTCTATCCTAAGCCTATTCTTCCTCCTGTGTACCTTACCTCAGTTAACCCCAAAATCATCTACCTGGCATGTGAAGCAGAAATCTGGACTACCACCCAAGATTACTCTCACCCTCCAAGTCCAATTAGTCACAAGCCATTTAACTCAAGCTCATAACCAATCCATCATCTCTTCTCCTTCACCCCTGCCCTACATTAATTCAGCTCCGTATTACCTCTCACTTAAAATGGCACAAGAGCAGCCTAATTCATCTTCTCCATTCATCCACATGGATACCAAAGTAATCTTTCTAAAAAAAGAGAAAAACTGATCATATCATTTCCTGCCTTAAAACCCTTTAATGACTCCCCACTGCCTGAAAGAGAAAGCGTTCAATTTTTTTAGTGTGGTAAACAAGATTCTTCATGACAAGGCCCTTCCTCTTTCTTCAGCCTCAACTCCCACCATCCTCCCTTCCATGCTCCACACTCCAGCAGTACTGAGCAAGCTCCAGTCCTCTCACAGAGCACACACTATTCCACACCACGACATTTTAAATATGCTGTTCCTGTGGGCTGAAATACCCTCTTCCCTACCTGTACTCACCCTTCAAGAGCTAACATTCATGTTTAACATCTCTATCGAGCCTTTCCTCACTTGTCACTGATCACTCCAACCTCGGACCTTTCATGTACTTGGTAAATATGTCAACAACTCTCATACGTGCGAAAATTAATGGTCTACAGGCTTGTGTCCCTTACAAGACAATGCCCATGTCTTTCTAATCCATTTATGTTCAGGTTTCTAGAACAATGTTTGGCACATGACCAGCATCGATAAAGGTTACTGAATGAAGGAATGAATGTACACTTTCTAATCTGGCTTTGCATCTGGCTTTCCTGTTCATAGTCAGCATAAAACTATACAGCATATTACAGCTTACAAAACATTTTTATTGTATCATTAAATTCGTGTATTTGTGTACTTACTGAATATCAATTCTGTTGGAGACCACTGGAGTTACACCGTCAGTAATGGAAGGGGGGTGGGGCTACTCTGGAAAGGATGATCAAGGAAGGTCTTCAAGCTAAAAGCTAAAAGGATCTAAAGGATGGAAGACGTGGGTAAAGATAACAGACTTGAAACAAAAGCAAAGAAAGCCAGTGTGGCTGGAGCAGAGGAAGGCAAACTGACTTATTCAACTGAAGCTTCTTAACCCGTGAGATAGGTAGGACAGACAATTCCCAAATTCAAATGTTGAGTGATTTTCCCAACTGATAAAGGAAGCTAGTAACAAAACCCATCCTCATCATTCCAAGTCAGTCTTTTCCCAAGCCATGCCTATGACTTCCACGGGCATAGACCTGCACTGTCCAATACAGCATCCATTGGCCACACAACCACCTGAAATGTAGATAGTCCAAACTGGTATGTGCTGTAAATGTGAAATGAATACCAATTTCAAAACCTATTATGAAAAAAAGAATGTAAAATATCTCATTGATAATTTTCATATCAATTAACATTGAATGATATTTTGGATAATTGAGCTAAATGTATTATTAAAATTAACATCATCTGTTTCCTTGTACTACTAGAAAAATTTCAAATTACCTATGCGGTTCGCATCATGTTCCTATTGGACAGCACTGGTACACACCCTCTCATATGTTTTTGTCTTAACTAGGAGTTCCCCAGTGGCTCCCTTGAAAATTCTGCAGAATGATTGCTGAGGCATGCACCACCCCTCCCCTAATCTCAGGTACAACCCCAGCTCTGAGATCCAGATCCCTGTGTCGCTTAACTTCTCTGAGTTTCGTTGGAGGGAGGGGGGCGGGGGGGAATTCATGCTTCCAGTAAGAATGACAGCCACTTCATGGACCCTTTCTGAGAATTAAGTAAGCATTCTCAGGCAATATCGGCAGCCGGGTAACAGTAACCGCGACGGCCAGCTCACCCGGTAGCTCTGGAAGGCCTCGTCGATGGGCGCCATGGTGTGGGCCTGGTGTTCCCGGGACTCCCTGCACACCAAGCACACGGGTCGCTGGTCGTCCTCGCAGAAGAGCCGCAGCGGCTCCCAGTGGCGGCCGCACAGGTCCGGGGGCACTGGGCCCTTGCGCCGGCGCCGAGTCTTCTCCGTCAGCCTGGCCAGGGCCCAGTTGGGCCGCAGTGCAGCGGGCGCCGACGGCTGCCTACATTCGGGGCAGGAGAACAAGCCGCCGCCCGGCGTCCAGCTGCGGCGCAGACACCCGCGGCAGAAGTTGTGGCCGCACTCGATGGACACCGGCTCCTCGAAATAGTCCAGGCAGATGGAGCAGGTCAGCTCCTCTTGAAGGTCCTCGGCTTCCATGCCGCTTCTCTGCTCCAGAGCCGGGGTCCGACTTGAGGCGCGGGAGGGGCCCGCAAAATGTGGCTGGTGCGGAGACCCCAGTTGCCCTCGGACCCGTGGCCGCCGCCCGGGGCCCTGAGCGGAAAGCGGAGCGTCTCTTCCGGGCATGAGCGCGGGGTGTGACGGGACGGCGGGCGGCTCCCCGAGACAACGATAGAGAAGCGGAAATCCCCCGGAAAGCCTAGAGAGGTCTTGGGTAGGGCACTGGAGTGCAGCTGCCGCGAGGTATCCAGTGGAGCCCAGTGGGGAGGCGCTTCTGGTCTTGGCCTTTCAGAGTCTGAGGGATGAGGTCTTGTGTTCGCCTGCCGAACGGGCTGATTTAAGTCCTGGAGTACTAGGAGCTCAGGACGAGGTGCAGCCTGGGGGCCTGGAGTGCCAGGAGGACTTGAAGGATCTGTGCAGCTGGGCCTGGAGTTTGGCTAAGGAGGACCGCTCTCCCTGAAGTGTTCTCTTTTTTTGTTGTGTCGTTCAGCCTAATTCTCCAGGGACAGGAACCCGTTCTCGTCCCCCAACCCCAAGGTCTAGTTGACTTCCTGGAAAGCAGGATTTCCTGTTGTCCCTGCGGAGACCCACCAACTCTCCTGGTGTTTGAGGAATCAGGGGAACTGGAGAACCAAGTTTCGGGAGGTGAGCAGGAAAGGCAGTGTTTAGCTCCACAAGCTGCTGGGGAGCTAACTGATCTTCCTGCCACCTTGATTTCCCTCTCTTCCCAAGCATGGAAGACAGACATCTAGTAGAGGAAGGCCATTCTCAGAGCTTGAGACACAGAGACCCAGTGCAGATAGGGGTTAATAGTTAAGTTAGGGGAAGAGAATTTGGGTTAGATGGTCTTCCCCACGTTTGAGACTTCCCACCTGTATTTTAGGTGCTTCAACTCCCAGGAGGTCTGGGGGCTATGGGAAGCCCTAAGCCAACCCTGGGTAATCTGCTATGAGTGGTTGTCATCTGAGATGCTAGGAAGGAGCAGATCCTGTAGCTGCTCTTTCCGGAAAAGTCCCTGACCGTCCTACCTGAAGAGATCAGGACCAGGATGCTAAAGCAATGCCTGGAGAGTGTAACTGAAGCCATATCTGTTGTGAGGGCCCTGTGAAAGTCCTGATAGGACCAGGAAGTCAAGTTTTTAAGTGAAGGTGGTTAGGATTCAGAGGCACAGATATATTGCCTTTTTGGTACCCCAACTGAAGAATAGCAACCATTTTGCTATCCCAAGGAACACCCATGGAGGCTTTCAACAAACTATGCTTGCCTATTTCAGGGAATAATATATTTACCTTCAATGGATTTTTTATTTTGTGTTTCTGAGGTACTTTCTTTTTATTCTTCCCACTTTATTCCTTTTCTCATGAATGAGATTTCTTAAAAACTTTAGACCAATAAATTTAATGGAATTTATTTGTGCAAAGAACAAATCATGAATTGGGCATCACTCAAAACCAGGAGAGGTTCAGAGAGCTTTGCCCAGCAATGTGGGCCACTGGCTTTTATAGGAAGCAAAGTAGAGATATCACCTGATTGGCTACAGGTAGGCATCTACCTGTATTATTATTTGGTCATAATGTGATGAAGCATGGTCTGATCAGTTGGCTGCCTGCTATTGGCGGGAGCTCAGCTGTTTGTGTATTGACTGACACCAGCTATTTGCTATAAAAATATATACTAAGTTAGGTTTCAGTTTGCTTATGTCCTAATATAGGTTGTAGTTTGTTATATAGGAACTCAAAGTACCAAGACAGCCTTAGGCTAATAGCCTCCTGCTTGTTTAACAGATTTCTCATTCTTCTTGTGTCCCAATATCGGATACTGCCTTTCCCATAATAATTTGCTCAGTATGATTAAATGATTTAAAAAAGGGTTCCTGAGATTTCTGTTTTGAGGTTATCAATATAAGTTCCACAGAATATCTACTTTTAAAACATTCAAATTATACAACTAATAACTTCATTTTCTTTGCAAATCGGAATACTATATTGAAAAGGAATCTGAGTCTTTAATATGGACCAAGCAGGAAAAAGTTTCATATCAGTTACTGATATCTACCATGAGTGTTTGTGGTGTGAGTGTGTCTCTGTCTATATATCTGCCTATGGGTTGGATGGGAAGTCACTGCACTCCTGCAAAGTATTTGTTCCCCTCTCAGTAATCATTTAAATCTTTTCAGGTAAATTCCTTAAGATCCTACTCTTAGTCCATTTGTGTTGCTGTATTGGAATACCTGAGACTGGATAATTTATAGAGAAAAGAGGTTTATTTGGCTCACAGTTCTGCAGGGTGTACAAGAAGCATGTCACCAGCATCTGCTTGGCTTCTGGTAAGGGCTTCATGCTGCCTCCACTCATGGTGGAAAGCAGAGGGGAGCTGCCATGCAGAGATCACAATGGCAAGAATAGAAGCAAGAGAGAAAGATGGGAGGGAGGTGCCAAGCTCTTTTTAACAATCAGCTCTCATGAGAACTAATAGAGGGAGAGTTCACTCATTACCAGAAGGACAGTGTTAAGTCATCCATGAGGGATCCACCTCTTATGACCCAAACACCTCCCACAGGCCCCACTTCCAATATTGGGGATCAAATTACAATATGAGTTTTGAAGGGCCAAATATCCAAACTATAGCAGCCCTTATGTCTTCTGTCCTGCCATACTCCTGGATGATCTTCCATCTTTACTGAGAATAATCGAAGCTCCCTAATTCACAATTTTCTGCATCACAAAATGTCTGTAAGTCTATATATCAGCCAAGGTTCAATGAAAGAAATAATCACTATGATAATCTTTAAGTCCGCAGAGCAAGCAGTTGAAAAGGGAAGATCAACATGAAGTAGGGAAGAGCAAGAATGAGATGGAACCTGAAACACAAACTGGTCGTTCTTTCACTGTGTCCAACTTTGAAGATGTGGATATCCTTGCTAGAGGAACAGACACTAGCACTAAACACAAACTTGCCTCAGGAATCAAAGAAACTGAAGGACGACCCGGGGGAAGGCTGATTCCCCATGCCAACAAGGTGAACCAGCTGATAGGTGACAAAGTGCATGGGCTGCAGTAGCACCTAGTGTCCCTGCACCACCCTTTCCAGTATAAAACTGTAGAGCTTCTTCACTTCTGCCCTCCAAAACTTACACAAACTTGTCTTTTTTAGACTACTTTAACCAGGAACAAATAGGAAAGGAAATTCTGAGAAACGTAGTTCAGCTTAACAGAGTCGACACAGGCCGGGCGCTGTGGCTCACGCCTGTAATCCTAGCTCTCTGGGAGGCCGAGGCGGGCGGATTGTTTGAGCTCAGGAGTTCGAAACCAGCCTGAGCAAGAGCGAGACCCCGTCTCTACTAAAAAAAAAAAAAAAAAATAGAAAGAAATTAATTGGACAACTAAAAATATATGGAAAAAATTAGCCGGGCATAGTGGCACATGCCTGTAGTCCCAGCTACTCGGGAGGCTGAGGCAGGAGGATAGCTTGAGCCCAGGAGTTTGAGGTTGCTGTGAGCTAGGCTGACGCCACGGCACTCTAGCCTGGGCAACACAGTGAGACTCTGTCTCAAAAAAAAAAAAACAAACAGAGTCGACACATTACAAAATCACCACTGTCTGCCCTTGTCAACTTGGCACCCACACAGACCTCTTTAAAATATATTTACTATCAAAATAAAGCCCACATTCTACACATAAGTTATCACTAGAGAAATATAAAGCCTGTAGTGCACTGAGGATAACCACCACAACAGTGAACTTTAAACCTAGCCCAACTCCTGACTAGACTGATACACCACCAACAACACTATGTACTATGATATATCAGAAGGAAAGGCACACTCATCTCCAAGCATAATAATATTTATTTGAACATCTGTTTATACAATGTTTCCAGCTTTCAATGAGAAGAAAAAATTAATAATTATACAGAAAGACAAAAAAACCACAGTCTAAGGAGATAAAGCAATCATTAAAACCCAGACTCATAGCATAGATATTAGAACTATCAGAAAGGGAATTTAAAATAACCATGATTAATATGGTCAAGGACTTAAGGGGAAAGGTAAACAACATGCATGCTCAGATAGCTAATTTCAGCAAATTGTTGGAAACCATAAGAAAGAATAAAATGGAAATTATGGAAATAAAAACAATAATAATAGAGATGAAGAATGCCTTCACTGGGCCCATTATTAGACTCAACACAGTTGAAGAAAAAAGATCACTAAACCTAAAGGTAGGTGAATAGAAATTACTGATACACAAAGATAAAAAAGAGTGATAAAAACAGAACAGAGCATACAAGAGCAGTGGGAAAATATCAACTATCAAATCAGGAAATAATGGCTGAGAATTTCCAGAATTAGTGAGAGACATCAAACCAATTCAAGGAGCTCAGAGAACATCCAGCAGGATACCTTTCTTAAAATGTAAGAAACTAAGTTTATTACATTCAAACTGCTGACAACCAAAGACAAAGAGAAAATCTTTAAGGCAGCCAGAGAAAAAAGACACATTATCTACAAGGGAAAACTGTGAGTATTGTAGCAGGCTTCTCCTCAGAAACCATGCAAGAGAGGAGATAATGCAGTTGCATCTTTAAAGTGCTAACAGTGTCTATTCCTCTGGAACCATTTCTGGTACCAAATTATCCCGAAATTTAGCAACTTTAAAAATTAGCATTTATTATCCCATACAGTTTTTGTGGGTCAGAAATTTAGGAGTGGCCTGACTGGATGGTTCTAGCTCAGGGTTTCTCATAAAGTTATAGTTAAGATATTATTCATGGGGATAATTATATGGTTTAATTTGTTAATGTGGTACATACCATTAAGCCCATGTGAGAATCTCTGTTTCCCTGGCAGTGAAAGCACTAATAACAAGAAAAATGGTTAAAATTACATGGCAGTGAGAGGGGTTCATGTTGGGTCAGGCTGAATATATGGGTAGTTTATTTCCTCTTTGTAAGGGCTCCATAATACCTTGTAGTTATAAGTTACTAAGAACACTGCCCAACATATACAGCTGATCTACCATTTCTGGGAGTTTTATTTATTATATATCTTACTTCAGAGAGATATACCCTTGGCTTCCTCCTGAAGTCAAAGGTGTAGTCAATATTTCCCAGAGGAGAGGACTAGTTCAGTTTTCCTCCATCCTTTGTTTCCTGTCAGAAGACCTACCACACCACCACAGACTCGTCTACACTGCCTCTGATGTCTAAGTAATTTTAGAATTCTGTTGAGAATATTCCCCTTTTCTGGTAGGATGAATCTGACCCTGAATAACATACCATAGACTTTGAGAACTGAACTATGAGTCCAGTTCTCAGGCCCCAGATTACTATCCAAGTCCCAAACTGGCCCTTGGATTGCACTGATGTGGGACCTGTCAGAATAGCATTACAAACACTTCGAAAACTGAATTAACATTGGAATCGCAACCCTCAGAAGGCTGGTCAGAACTTGTGGCCTGAACCCAACTGGATTAGTCGCCTATTACAACATAAATATCAACATTCCGTACAGAATTTAAACAAGAACAAAAGCATCATAATAATATTCAAAATGTCCAGAATACAATACAAAATTGATTGGCATATGATGAACCAGGAAAATCTCAACTCACATTGGAAAAAGAAATCAACAGATGCAAACTATGAGTTGCCACAGATGTTAGAATTATCAGACAAAGACTAGAAAGCAGTTATTCAAATGGAAAGATACAAAGTCTCAGAAAAGAAATAGAAGATATAAAGAATAACCACATGGAAATTATAGAACTGAAAAATACAAAAACCATCATCACCTCGTATCAAGGGTACATGCTGTCAACATCACTTATCACGTTAATGTTAACCTTGATCACCTGGCTGAGGTAGCACTTGATGGTTTTCTCCCTTGTTATTCTTCCCCCCTTCCCCAATTTTACTCTTTAGCAGGAAGTCACTATGTGCAGCCCACACTTAAAGAGTGAGGAGTTATGCTTCTCCTCCTTGAGAGGGAACATTCTTCTGCATGAGAAATTTGTCAATTATCTCCAATTTATTTATTCAATTATTTATTGATATCCGAATGGACTCATGGATTCTTATTTTATACTTTGGGTTATAATCCCAATATAGTTTGGATGTTTGTCCACGCCAAGTCTCATGTTGAAATTTGATTCCCGAGATATTGGCGGTTGAGCCTAGTGGGAGGTGTTTGGGTCATGGGGGTGGATCCCCCATGAATGGTTTGGTGCTGTCCCCTTGGTGATGACTGAGTTCTTACTCTATTAGTTCATGGGAGAGCTGGTTGCTTAAAAGATCACGGGCACCCGCTCTCCTCCCTCCCTCCCTGTCTCCCTTCTCTTCTCTTTTTCTTCTCTTCTCCTCTCTCTCTTTCTCTCTCTCTTGCCATGTGACAATACCTGCTCCCCCTTTGCCTTCCATCATGATTGGAAGCTCCCTGAGGCCCTCACCAGAAGTAGATGCTGGTGTGCACCTATAGTCCCAGCTACTTGGGAGGCTGAGACAGGAGGATCGCTTGAGTCCAGGAGTTTGAGGTTGCAGTGAGCTATGATGACACCACTGCACTCTACCCAAGGAGATAGAGTGAGACTCTATCTCAAAAATAAAAAAAGAATAAACATATAGATCAATGGAATAGAACTAAGAGTTCCACAATAACTCCATACGTCTATGATCAATTGATTTTCAACTAAGGTGCCAAGACTCTTCCCTATTCAATAGGAAAGAATAGTCTTTTCAAGAAATGATACTGGGACAACTGAATATGCACATACACTAGATAAAGTTTGACTCCTATCTTACACCATAAACAAAAATTAACTTGAAATCGATCTTAGACATAAATGTAAAAGTTGAAACTATAAAACTCTTAGATGGAAATGTAGATGTAAATCATCATGGCCATTAATTAGACAACAGTTTCCAAAATATGACACCAAAATCATACATAACAAAAGAAAAAAATGGGTAAATTGGACTTCATCAAAATTTAAAACTTTTGTATATTCTTTTATTTTAAAATGAAAATGCATGAGGAAAATGCATGGCTAAACCTAGTGACTTGAAACCATTGCAGCTCACTTTTGTTGGTTACGGCATCTATGGTAGCCTTGTATCTAAAATGAAGGGCAGCTTTTTGTTGTTATTTTTGAGACAGGATCCCACTATCTTGCCCAGGCTGGATGAACTCGAACTCCTGGGCTCAAGCAATCCTCCTTCTTCAGCCTCCTGAGTGGCTGGACCTATATTAAAGGCATGTGCCTTCACTCCTGGCTAAGGGCAATCTTTTTGAGCAGTTAAAAATAAATATAGAACTAGCTCTGTGACTCTAAAAATATGTAGTCACATTTTGGTGACTTTTCTTTTCACTTAAAAGAGATTTTTTTAATGATTAAGAAGAGAAAAATAGTATAAATATATATATGTATAGTCTAGAAAATAAGATGAAAAAGTATACCTGTGTATGCATCACTCAATTAAAAAAATAAAGAACATTACAGGTGATCTGTGTGGCCCTCTCTACTCCCATTTCCTTTCTTTCTTTCTTAGAAATAAACACTATCCTAAATTTTGTGTTATCTTGCAGTGCTTAGGGCTTTAACAACTTTGTATACTTATATAAAATGCTGTTTAGTTTTGTATGCTTTTGGATTTTATTTTAATGTAACCATAATCTATCAATTCTATGACTTGCCTTTGTTCATTCAAAATTATATTCCTGAGATTCAAAAAAAAAACCAAAATTTAAAACTTTTGTACATCAAGGAACACTCTTAAGAAAGTGAAAGACAAGCCACAGAATGGGAGAAAATATTTGGAAATCATATATAGGATGAGTATCTAATACCCAGAATATATAAAGCACTCTTACAACAACAAAAATACAAACAACCCAATTTTAAAATGGGCAAAGGATTTGAATAGACATTTTTCAAAACAAGATATACAAATGTCAAAAAAAACACATGAAAGATGCTGAACATCATTAGCCATTAAGAAAGTAAAAATCAAAACTACAATGAGATATCACTACACACCCACTAGGATGGCTAGAATTTAAAAAAAACAAAAACACTAAATAACAAGTGATGGTGAGGATGTGGCTAAATTGGAACACTCATACATTGCTGATTGGAATGTAAAAATAGTGCGGCTTCTGTGGAAAACTGTTTGGCAATTCCTCAAAAGGTAGATTAGACATAGAGTTTCCATATGGCCCAGTAATCTACTCCTGGGTATTTACCCAAGAGTACTGAAAACACATGTTCACACAAAATTTGGTACACAAGTGTTAATAGAGATATTCATAATAGCAAAAAAAAATGGAAACAATCCAGATGTCTGGAAATTGAAGAATGGATAACATACCAAATGGTATACCAAAATATGGTATATTCTAAAAATGGAATAACATTCAACCACAAAAATGAATGAAGTTCTGATACATGCTACAACATGAGACTCAAAAATACCATGCTAAGTGAAAAAAGCCAGACACAAAAGACCCCTATTGTATGATTCCATTTACATGAAGGTGTAGGAGAATCCACAGAGACAGAAAGTAGACTGGTGGGTGCATACGTTTGGGAAGAAATAAGAGGTTGAGGGTAACAGTTAAAGGGTATAGGGTTTTTGTGTTTTTGAGTTGATGAAAATGTTCTCAAATCGATTGTGTTGATGGATACACAACTCTGTGAATATACTAGAAACCATTTAATTGTGTACATTAAATGGGTGAATTTTATGGTGTGTGAATTATATCTCAGTAAAGCTATTTTTCAAAGGGTGAAATAAGGAGAAATTGTGCATGATGGCGATTGCTTTTTTCCTTAGTCACCTTGGCTGAGATCTGACTAAAGTAGATAACAGATGCATGTGAAACACTCATGTGGCAGCAAGAAAACTTATTTTTTTTCCTAGTTGCCAAACCATCCCTTGGTGAACCCAATGTCTTTCCTTAGAGATGAGCCTGCCTAACTTACTTGGGCATAACTTGGGATTCAGAAGGAGAAAACAAACCAGGTAACTGCTTTTTGCTGAGACTTCGAGGGCAAGGAAAAACTAAGGAGGGGGTGGGGTTCTGTAAAAAGGTGGGTGGGTAGAACACTCTCCCACAGAAATGACTGAGGGATGCAAGAAGCCTGGTATTCAGATTTCAGTCATCCGCTGAATCACATTGTGATATAAACCTCTCTCGCTCTTACTCTAGAATCAGCAGTATAACAGCCTTTTCTGTGTTGTAGTGGGGGTTATGAGTTTTAAAAGTAGGGACTTGGTCCTGAATTTGAGTTGCTGCTGTACTGGAGAACAGCTGCAGGAGAACAGTGGAGAACGAGAATGGAGCAGAAATCAGAGCTATCAGTGGTCAAAGGGACATGAGCCCCTGAATTCACAGTAATCTTCCTAAAGGATGTGGCTGGGCGTTTGAATAAATCTCCTCTAGATATTAAGGGACATTGGGCTATACATGCTTGGAAGACCAGAGTTTCCAGCTATAACATATGCTGCAGGACTGAGGAGCACTCATAGGTTGCAGGACTTTGGCGCTGGGAAAGCAGAGAATGTGGAACAACAAAAAAGAGATAAATGAGTCACTGAGGCAGGAAGGATCACTGCCTTTGGCAACAGGAATGCCAACACAAGTCATCAATATTTATTGAGCAGGGCAGGGGAGAGTCATGGTTTATGGAGGCTTCTGCTGGCTGACTGTTGAACCGAGCCCATGAAAATTGTGATGCTGACACCAGAGAATTTGGGTAAGAAGGTACGATCAGGAACTCTTCAAGGAAATGCTTTAGACAGCATGGCCCACCACGGCCCTTAGAGATCCTTCAACAGCTGGATCTGTCATAGACATGAAGCCCCACTCCATGGATGGCGGGAAGAAGATCCAATCATAGGGTTTCCTTCAGGCAAGCCAGGTGTCTTCATAACTCTGCAAAGTAGAGCATCAAGCAGAAGCTGAGATTTTTCCTAAGTGTAAAGGGACCTAAATGGAAATTTAGGAGGTACAATGGACTAGCACTGTCTTCCTGGTTCACTGGAAGGAATCATCAAATTGAAGGGGATGGACATTGGGAGATGGGTTGGGAGCAGTGATCAGGACACATCTGCCTAGAACCTGGTTATCTACTTTGTAACATGCAGAAGTTGTACTTCCCAGAAGGGTGAGGGACCTGCCCCAAGAGGAGGTCATCGGGACAGAGACATCAGTGGCAGGAAGAGTGTCCTTCTCACCTGCTTCTCGAAACTGCTCTTTTGTTTCCACCACTGGAAAGTTATCAGTTGGTTCCTTGTGTCTTCTGGTGCTCTCTGAAGTTGGGTGGTAGTTAGAGGAGGAAGATTTGTGCTTCTGGGTCTTCCACCATCTCCCCAAACCCAGAAGCACAAGCTCCAAAAGAGTAAACAGGAGACAGAACCCACTGACCCCAAACATGGTCTTTAGGAAGATGGTTTTCTCAGAGGGGCGGGACAGAGTACAGGTTATACTACCGAGGCACGGCTCTCGACGACATGCAAAGGAGCTGGGCATCTGGAACCCATACAGATGGTACTGCCCTCCCAGGGCTGCCCCCTCAAGGGCCAGTCGAGCCCCCAGCTGTGCCATATAGGCCCAGAGCAGCCGGGCGCTTCCAGGCCCTGGGGCACCTCTGCCGCTCTGCCCTTCGTGGAGCGGGGTCTCCTCCTCCTTCTTCACCTTTCCTGATTCCTCCCAGTGCCAGATCACATGATACAGGGTGAAACCCATGTAGAGGGCGCTGGGAACAGCCACCAACATGACCTGGAAGGTCCAGAAGCGCAGTGGGGAGAGGGGGTGGAAGGCGTCGAAGCAGGCAGCCTTGCAGCCCGGCTGCTGGGTGTGACACACGAATTCACTCTGCTCATCGCCGTAGACGCCGGGCCCACTGGCAGCCAGCAGCACGAGGCGGAATCCCAGGAGCACGGGGAGCAGGAGGCGCCCCACCGGGGTGGAGTGCCCCGTCGTCTCCTCAGCCAGCAGCCGCCGCAGTAACCCGCCACACATCCTGCTACGGAGTAGAGGACAGTAATCAGTCACTGCACGCATGTCGCTCACTGTCCTGTAGAGGGAGCTCCAGTCCACCTTGTCACTCCCAATCCAAGGATGGGGAGACAAGCCTTTTTGCTCCTCTCCAAAGATGTGGTTGATCAACTACCAAGACTCTTGTTGCACCTATTTACTAGTTAACGAAATTACCTATGTAAAATAATAATAGTGAGTGTGGGGGGGTGTGGCTCTGTCTCTTCCGCCCTCCCCTTCTATACTGCTGGATCGGAGAGGAACTCTCAGGTAGAGACGAGGATCCGTCTTTGTCTCATTCCTTCCCTCCCTCCCTCTCTCTCTTTCCCAAAAGCTACATGTAAGAGTCCAGACTGGCATTTTTGATTACTCGCCCTTTGAAAACGGTTGCTTCCCCAGATGACGGCTGCCAGGTCTGGTCCTGCTAACAGCGCCATCGTAACAAAATCAATGCTGACACAGGGAGGAAACGTGCATTCTCTATGGCTGTTTTCCTTTCTTTGCCTCCACTGCCCTCGGGCACACATAGTGTGTCTGGATGGGCCTCTACTCCCATCAGAGCGGTGAGATTGAGATGCAGTTCTGTTAAAGAGTTAAATGAGGATGGGATGAAATGAACAGGGCAAGTGTCAAGGCTTGCTTTAGTCTGATGCTCTCGTAAGGCCTACCTTATTAGCTTAGGAAAAAGACACTATTTGGAAGATAAGCCAGCAGAATTTACCAGAATTAAATGCCGTGGGATTTGGGGCCAAAGCCAGAGCTGACTGGATAGAAAATGAAAATCTGACTTCCGTCTGCCATTGTTCTTTGAGCATACATCTCCCTTGTGGTAAGAGATGACCACAGTCAGGGACAGGCTTCAGAAATTCTTCAGTTCCCTGGACAAAATACCATCAGGCTACAAGCCCAAGTTTACCATCTTCATCTCTGTCCCAATCAGCAGCCTTCCCCAATGCCCAGCAGCTCTTTTGAACCACCATTTAGCACAAACCCTCACACACCTGGTTCATCTCATTCTCAGACCATGTAGTGTGGTCTGAATGTTGGTGTCCTCCCCAAATTCATATGTTGGAAACAAATACAGTCATCCCCCCCCCTTATCTTCAGTATCCCTTTCTGTAATTTCAGTTACCCACAGTCAACCACAGTCCAAAAATATTAAGTGGAAAATTCCAGAAATAAATAATTCATAAATTCTAAGTTGTGCACCTTTCTGAGTAGGTGACAAAATCTCACGCTGTCCCTCTCCATCTCACACATGTGAATAATTCCTTTGTCCAGCATATGCACGGTGTAGACATTCCCCACCTGTTAGTCATGTAATAGTCATCTGGGTTATCGATCTACTGCCACGATATCACAGAGCTTGTGTTCAAGTAATCTTCACTTTACTTAATAATGGCATCAATACACAAAAGTAGTGATGCTGGCATATTGTTATAATTGTTCCATTTTATCATTAGTTATTGTTGCTAATCTTTTACTGTGCCTTATTTATAAATTAAACTCTATCATAGGTGAGTATGTATAGGAAAAAACATATAGGATTTGGTACTATCCATGGTTTCAGGCATCCACTGGAGGTCTTGGAATGTATCCCCCGTGCATAAGAGGGGACTGTTGTACCCAGAGTGATGGTATTAAGAAGTGGGGCTTTTAGGGGGTGTTGCTATAGAGGAATACCAAATACTGGGTAATTTATAAAGAAAAGAGATTTATTTAGCTCATGGTTCTGCAGGCTGTACAAGAATAATGGTGCTAACATCAGCTCAGCTTCTAGCGAGGGCTTCCTGCTGTGTCAAAACATGGCAGAGATGATCAAAAGGGAAAGTGGCACATGTGAAGAGGGACTGAACTCTGGCTTTGCAATAACCGCTCTCAAGGGAACTAATCCATTCCCAAGAACCAACTCAGTCTCACAAGAGCAAGAACTCACTCACCACCGTGAGAATGGTACGAAGCCATTCATGAGGGATCCTCCCCCACGACCCAAATACCTTCCACCAGGACCCACCTTGCAACACCACCACGCTGGGGATTAAATTTCAACATGAGATTTGGTGGAGACAAACCATATCCAAACTATAGCAGAAGTTCCTTAGGTCCTATCCTGAATGGGATATTCCACCATGGGAATTTCCACCATGTAAAGACACACAGAAGCCACCATCTATGAAGAACAGGCCCTCACCAAACACCAAATCTGCTGGTGCCTTGATCTCGGACTTCCCGGACTCCAGAACGATGGGAAATAAGTTTCTGTTGCAGGATGGACGTGGTGGCTCACACCTGTAATCCCAGCACTCTGGGAGGCTAAGGCCAGAGGATTGCTTGAGCTCAGGAGCTCGAGACCACCCTGAGCAAGAGCAAGACCCTGTTTCTACTAAAAATAGAAAAAAAAAGAAGTAAGTTTCTGTTGTTATAAATTACCCAGTCTAAACTATTTTGTTTATATAATAGCAACTCAAACAGTAAGATACCATGCAACCTCTTATTCCACAGAGAATATAGAGACTCTTTGATGTGAAACTCCACAGCTACTACTTTCTCTTATTCATACTTACTTCCTTCTCCAATATCTTAGAGAAAAATGTGGACCTACACTTGTCCAAAGCTATTTTTCCTTCCAAATCTCTGTCCTTGGGTCTCTTTTTTCCTGCTTCTTCAAGGATTTGATCCCCCAATTATCTTCCCTGTAATTAAGACTTCCCCTTGTTTCCTCTCCATGAATATGCTTCGTTATCTCCCTTTGCTCTACTAATAATAACCTGGGTTTCTAAGTTAACATGGCAACAAAAGAGACATGCCTCATTTGTCTCATATCAGCCTCCCAATTATAATACCCAGAAATATGCACAAAACAATTTTCAATGGGCATTAGTGTTGCAAACTATACATGAGAGCAAGCCATATGCCAAAGCTGAGGCAGAATGTTCACTTCTGTGCAATCAGAGCAATGGAAGAAGATGCTTCCAAGGGACTGTTCTGTAAGGGTCTCAGTTGGCCAGAGAAATACGTCGCCATCCACCAACAGTAAGAGAACATATTTGAGCTACTAGGAGTCAGACTTTGAACCCCTGCCTGCCCCTCAGTTCCTGTCTTTCTACCTCTATCATAGACTGTGAAGACTCAGAGACATATTAGGCCACTGAAAATTCTTTTCTATAAAATTGGATTACTGGCCAGGCATGGTGGCTCATGCCTGTAATCACAGCACTTTGGGGAGGCTGAAGCAGGAGGATCGCTTGAGCCCAGTAGTTCAAGAACAGCCTGGGCAACAGCGAGACCCCAGCTCTACAAAAAGTTTAAAAATTAGCCGGGTATGGTGGGCATGTGGCGTGTGCCTGTAGTCCCAGCTACTCGGGAGGCTGAGGCAGGAGGATCACTTGAGCCCACGAGTTTGAGGTTGCAGTGAGCTATGATGATGCCACTGCACTCTAGCCTGGAAGACAGAGCAAAACACCTGTTGAAAAAAAAAATGGGTTAAAATTTTTAGAAGAAATCTATTTTCAGTCTCTAGAAAGATGCAAAATCGGTCTCATGATCAAAGATGGCAGATTGAAGATAAATATTTCTCTCTTATCATTCTCAAGACTCCTCAAAAGTGGGAGTGAATGGATTTTTTAAATGCACAATAAACCCATTACAAATAGAGGAGGAGAAAGATCAAAAGTACAATTAAAATCCACCATGAAGGCAACAGGACCAATTCTAAGGAAAACCAAATAGGGGTACTGCAAAACATACTTGAGAAGCACTTCTAGAATTCAGAGGAAGAAAATGCGTAATTGAAAATAATAAAACGTAAATAGACATGGAAACAAAGTCTTCTTCCAAATTTGAAAATCAAGATAATAATAAAACAAAATCACTATCAGGGGAGAAAGCGCTTAGTGAAGTGACTGAGAAAGAAGCAGTTTTTCAATAAATGTTTGGCTAAGCTTTGTCTGAAGAAATATTGAGCTCCCACAGAGGACCAAAAGGAAGATTCACTTCCAATGCTGGTATTGGGTTTCTCAACCTTGGCATTGTCTAGAGCCCAATAATTCTTTGTTTGGAGTGGTCTGTCCTGCACATTGTAGCATGTTTAGCAACACCTCTGGTCTCTACCCACTAAATGCCAGCAACACACCTCTCCCCTCCCATCTACACTGTGACAACCAAAACTGTCTCCAGACATTGCCAAACATCCCCTGGAGAGCAAATTCCCCCCTGGTTGAGAAGCGCTAGGTCAGGGTCACACTGAGCCATCAGTTCTCCACTCTTGGTCTCAGTTACCAGTTCTGCAAAGCAAGATGCCTGTACCAGAGCATCTCAAAGGGCTTTTCTAGCCTTCCATTTGATGGGGCCAGGATAATCAGCCCATCTTCTGAGTTAGCCACACATCCTCCCTCAGTCAGCCCCATCTGTGAGTGTACCTGCGGCCCTGCCCTGCCTCATAAGTCTATGGGATCACTGGATTTAAGGAAGGCAGCCCTAGAGCTCTGAAGGTACCTGCCCTGGCTCTCTCAGAGAGAGTTAGCAAATTAAATGCTAATTTGGTAAATTCTCAAGCCTTGCTCTCAGCCTCATCTTATTTCAAAGTGCAGGCCAAGCATCCTCTAAACACATTTCTAGCGCATTCCCCGCAGATTTGGAATTGAACACAGGGCAGCAGACCTGGTATATTATAACTGTTAGGAACTTGAGTGGTTCCCAGAGGCCCTATCTCTGGTTACTCTCTCTCCCACCACGGCTCATGATTGGACACCCAAATGTACTCACAGAGACTCCCAGAACTGAGCTGAGGTCTCCAGAGCTCACCATAGAGCTTTAGGGGGTTGGAAGGAAGAGAGGGGCAACAGCAAGACTAAAGGACCTGCCTGGGGACCCCTTGGTTTAGAGCTCCCGTATCTAATCCCAAGTACACTTCCTTGTTGTTCACCTGTGGCTGCTGTTGCCAGAATAATGCTTATTTCACACACATTCGTTTGGGGCTTCCTGGA